TGCGCTGAGTGTTGGTAGCGACGGGACCCTCAGGAAGATCATCGAATATCAGCGCTAGTACATCAGGCTGCATGTTGATCTGCGCGCTGACATCACTGTTGCCGACATCGGTCATTCTTTTGATGTACATCAGGTATGATGATCGGCTGATCATCATACAGGCCCAAATCTGCGACGGGAACAATCTCGGCTGAGAAAGTTCTAGTAGACTTCGCTGATTCCCCTCAGAGGTCGACGCTGCCCTGGGGTGTGAAGTCTGCGCTGAGATGCAGTAGAAGCCCTCTAGTCTTCGGCTGCGACGATGGGATGTCTGGGGAAGCAGGACGCTTCTTGAGGCGGCGGACTACGCCCCACGCCTCTCCACCACTCTAGCGGAATACCAGACGGAGGGGGGTCACCAACCGCAGTAGACTGGCGAGGGTTCAGGTGTATCAGTCATGGCTAGACTCTGCATAATGCGGACCTATCTGCTGCGCTGCCTCAAACATAAAGTATTTATTTATTAAAGGCAGAATTGATAAATTAGTACCGCGAACTGCCACGTGAATAAAATGAACATGGCGCAGTACAGCTAGGGCATATTAAATGGATCAGCAGCAGAATAAAAACGTAATCTGCAACAGTACAGAATTTTCATCAACGTAATCCACAGAACAAACATGGCGCCCCGTGAATAAACAGTAGAAACACGACTAAATATCAATATATAATTGTTGAAGGATACTAGCTAAACCTCTATAGATGTCTATACGAGGTAACTAACTAAATATAATCCAAGGATATAGTGTGTCGGAGACACAGGCGCTCACGCCCAGCTCACTGGGCTAAGAAGGAGAGAGTGAGGCACATGGGTAGAGGTGAAGCCCTCGTTCTGCCAGCTTGTGGAAGGGAGGTAACTCGTGATGTACTAATTAGTGATTTTACATTGAAGGAGCTTCAATTAGGAGATACAAGTGTTCCACTATGTTCGCAAGAAGAAGAAGACAAGCAAAAAGAGCATGAGTCAGGATAAGGAAAAATAAAAGGCTGGTCAAGCAAACCTAAAAAACAATGGGTTTCCGAGAAGTCTCCCACTGGCTACTCCTCAGCAGTGTGGGTGTTATCTGCCCATGAGTGACAGGACTGTAATGGCTATGGGTGCCTGGCAACAGCCTGGTAATGTCAAAGGTAAATATAGTGCCTTATAGTAAATGTCCAACAACAATTTCACTACATATATTTTGATGACTAAAGATATTAATTTGATCAGCATATATAAAATTTCAAATTTTACTTATTTTTTGAAAATAAAATCTTCAACATGGTGATGTCAGCATCAAATAAGTGTACATTAGAGTGGGGCATTGAGCATTCTCACAGCCTGCCACCTGACAGTGCGAAATGCAAATCTGGATTTAAAAAAAGAGAAATATAGTTTCAAAATGTATGTTTTGTAGGCTGTCCACATCCATACATTTTACAGTTAGCCTTAATAACATACTGCTTTACACTATGGCTTAATTTCATCATGAACCGGTAGGTCAATTTTGTGATATTTTAAGGAATGTACTTGAATACTGCATAGCTTTGCATTAAAAGACAGCTTTGACAAGGCAAGGAGGCCACACCTCATCTGTGTATAGGTTTGAACCCCAGCCTTTAAAGCCATGACAGGTGAACTATAGCAGTGTATGAAATAAGGCCCGTCCGACAGCCCGAGACGGGCTAGATTTCTGCTGGACGGTCTAATTTTACAGCTAGCCATCCCGATGGACACGTGAAAAAAATATTCAGATAATGTGTCCACTGGCACTGTCTATTTAGTATTTAAGAAGAACTGGTTAAATCTCTTCTGGGCTGGTAAGTTTTTGAAGTTACCAGCCCAGATGTCTGGCTGGGTTTTTGGCTTATTTCATACACTGACTATAGATACATGAAAGAATCGGGTGATCCTAAAGTATTTAATATAACTGATCATGAAGACTGTGACATAAATTGTATGAAGCATATTCCATAAGGTCACATTGTTTATGACACAAGGAAAACAATCTTAGAGTGAGTGCATATTATTCCAATGCCCACGTTCAGTGGATCAGTCCGTCAGAATAACATTTTTAGACAATATCAAATAAAACTGTTTGACTTAAAGAGTTTCATTTATCCCATTTGCCTGTACTTCCACATGAACTTCGGTTGATGCATTGGTCTTGAATGAATGAATTGTGGTTTAGCATGGAATAAATCATCATTACACAGTTAAACCCAGGTTGTTGCATTCATGTACACATACTTACTGGCACAACCATTTACATTTAATGCATTAGTGTTTAAAATATACCAATCATCATTTGAGAATAATACTTAAAGGTGTCCTAAAGTTGATGCTGAATATGCTGCAGTTCCCAAGCAACATTGGATACTGTTTGTGTGACAACAACTACAAGTAGCCTGTCACACACAGTCAGGTCACTATAGGTCAGAGGGGAAGCCTAGTGGTTAGAGTGTTCACTCGTTTGATTCCCCACATGGCTACAATGCATGAAGTCCATTTCTAGTAATATCGCTGGAATATTGCTAAAGGCAGCATAAAACCATACTCACTCACTCACCCCTATACATCCCTATCAAATGGTATATATTAGTATATAATAAAACATCAAACACTATTGGCAACAATTTTGTGTAGTGGGATATTCAACCAATCACCCTAAGCACCACTTGCCTCGTGGTAAAAGACCCAGGTTCAATTCCCGATATGTGTACAATGTTTGAAATCCATTTCTGATGTCCCCCGCAGTGATAAAGCTGCAATACTGATAAAAAGCAGCATAAATTACAACTCACTCACTCACTCACTCTCAAAGTGGATGATTTACCTATATACCTTACTTTTATAGGTTTACCTATTTAATAAGTTAACAATTGCTTCCAGCGTAATAAAACGAATATTGACCCTCTTCTTTTCCCATTTGGACGAATTATGAAAATATTCTAAGGAGACAACCTTAATCCTAATGGTCATCCTCCATTCTTATCCTTCTACAAGGGTCATTTGCATGATGAGAGCTATAAGATGATTTTCTGTTAGCATACCCAGGTGAGCTATAAAACAAATTGAGTCTTGTTCTTGTGACCACCTGGAAAATTATATATTCAAAACAAGGCTTAAAATCATATTAAACAAACAGTCTATCCAATGAAATTAACATTTGCAATCAAGCATCAACATTGTACACATATATGGAACCTCTGGAGATCTACTAAGCCTTTCATTTATCTACTTAAGCTATTAGACTAAGTTTGGCCACACTATTTGTATTTCATGGATTTGATAACCAATTAGTTTTATTACGTCAAACAAATATCATAATAAAAATCAGGACATCTAAATTTCTTTTTCTGTACATCTGCCATACAGTTCATTAAATAGGTTTGCTAAAAAAAACAAATATCATTGAATGTTAATTCTGCATAAAAGCAAAAGATGTTTGATATTTTTACAGTTAAATTCTATCTATTTAATAAAGATGTGATTAGCAGTCATGTGTAGCACACAACTTGTAATAACAAGGACTTTGGTTTTTGTGTAGTTTTTGAGTTGCATGCACCTCGTATCTCACAAGATTCTCACACACGATTCAGCAACATGGAGTTGTCAAGTGAGTGAGTATGGTTTTACTCCACTTTTAACATTATTCCAGCAAAATCATGGCAGGGGACACCAGAAATAGGCTTCACACATTGTACCAATGTGGGGACTCGAACCTGGGTCTTGGTGTGACAAGCAAATGCTTAGACCACGAGGCTATCCCACCTCACCTGTCATCAAATGAAGAAGAGATCCCAGCAATCAGTTACCCTTAGTTTATAAATGAAATGACTAAGGATATATCATTATGTCATTTCTTAAATATTTGAATATTTTTTAAAAAACAAGTCAAAGTATACATAACTGTTTCCTGCTTATAAATATTCCCAGCAATACAAGATTTATAAAATATATTTTCATTTTGATTAGACTTAATATGTAACAACATGGCGGGTATATATGTGACCTAAACTTGTGAAACATGAACCCTACTAACCATACTAATAAAATTCTGAAATTATAAATTTGCTGAGAGAAAATATTATCTAACAAGCAGTGAAACACACAGTTATTGTCTTTCATCATCACGGTTCATTTATTAGAATCAATAATTAAACAACTCACATTGAATGACACTATCTACCTCTCCACACAGCAGATACGAGAATGTATGTATTTGCGAGCTGCCACATGAGGCCAACACATGGTGAAAGGGACATAACTCTCACACAAGAAATATATGTCAAGGACATGCGTACCACTGGTTTAGTGGGACCAATCAATTCATTCTCTAGTCTCATTGATTGACAGTCAAATATCAAATGTCCAAATGATATATGTCATATTTGGTAATCTTTTGTTTTGACTGCAGCTCTTAGAAACATTGTGACTTATGTTTATCAGTATCGATAGAAACATGAATGCATAGAGATGTTCATGTTGTCTGAAAGGCCAAGCCTGGAGTGTAAAACCCTTTAGAAATCAAACAATTTTTTTATTCACCAGGAATTCAAAATTTAAACAATAGGTTTCAACAGACATATTATTTCTTGTCTGTCTTGATGATTCCAACATATACATTAAGAGGCTAAAGGGAATGGATCTTCATTTTAAAGTTGACACAAGCTACTACACACAGCGTCATGTGCTTTTGCTGCTACAGCTGACTTTGACAGCTGACAATATATATACATGTATATATACATCTGTATGAAATCAAGTCTTAAACATATATAACAAATACATATTTCAAGATATTCTGTGTATGAATGATAAAAAGAATAACTGACTTCTCTTACAAGAAGAGATTATCTGTTCTTTCTGGAGGCCATCCCTTTGCAACGAACTAAACTAATTTACAGAGGACCACTAACAACTGAAATTATATTTATCCAAAACTATTTCTCATTTTATCGATTTGATAAATTATTACCTGAAGAACTCTAAATGCACATGGTTCTCCCTTAAAACTGCTGCAAAGTGTCAATGAACTCCACACCTTCACTAAATTCCTGAAACAGTCAAAGGGGAATAACTCTGAACACACAAGACAACACATGTATTTGATGTGGCCAAAATTGACCAAAATCAATGTGAATTATGCTATACTTCCAACTTGTGGTTCTGTTATCTGTTATCTACGGTCCACGTTGGCTTTGTCTCCAGATTAGTCATTCAAGACACAAACAAGGATATTCCATGGTCAGTCGCCATAAAGCTGGAATATGGCCAGAATTGACCAACATCGATGTGTGTTATGCTATACATGCATCTCATGTCTCTGTCATCTATGGGCCATGTTGGATTCTTCTCCAAATTATTCATGCAAGACACAAAAAGAAAGCCATAAACATTATAAACATGAGGGACATAGAAATTATTACACGAACAAGTGTGTCATACAACTTATGCAAAACAAGTGTGAAATTTTGTAAGTCATGTGGCACACTTATGAGTGTAATAATTTCTGTATTATCCATTTTATTCATGTACATTTGTGCAGTGAAAAATGGTAAGCAAGTGTGATTGCCCTGTTCATTGACGTCACATTCAATTGTATAATGACGTCACAGGCAATGAAATACAGATGGTTGCTAGGCAAAAGTGATATGTGCACATATGATATATATGACACTGGTTATGTTTCATCAGATGGATAATAATGGTTGTTAATGTATGTGTTGGTTGGACATTTTTTAATGTATTGGAAGAGGGAAGTTGATATTTTACAGATCTTTTGAATGTCCACTTTTTATATTTTGTCATAATTTCTAAATTCTTTTGACATTTCCTCTCCTTGACTTAACTCACTTGTGTGTCACTCTGAGAATTGCTGTACAGTCTTTCAGAGAATACTTCAACACATCTGATGTCAGGCTACAGCCCACCTGCAAATATACACAAACACATAAACTGCCATCTGGGACAACAGTGTAGAGTTGTGTCCCTTAGCTCTATCAGGATCTGATGGGGATGGCTCTGATCCAACATTCCTCCAAAATACAACTGATTATCTGTTACCACTACATCTGTGCTAGTAGCTTTAAACACCTGTGAATTGTCTGTTCAGACTTCTCTTTCACTTGAAGCTGAGACAACTGAAACAATGTGACAAAGTGGATAGAGTGTCTACCCAAATAGTAGAGGGTCAGAAGGAAAAATGGACTCAACCGGGCGATACTATACCATACTACCTTGTAAATGGCTGTGTAACCAATATTCCATCCAATAATCATATATTTCTCCAGTTTCAATGAATATATTGCATATGTTTTTTTACCAAGGCAGTCACAGAAATTGCCCAGAGCAGTTTTTGCGAGTGTTAACTGTATCCAAAGGACTGTAATACTCAAAACATTTGGGGGTTATTGCAATGCTATTCATGATAGTTGATGTTCTTGGTTAATTTGTATCACTGACTATGTTATTAGCAACTCTTAAACATCAAATGCATGTAAGAGCAAAACATATATCTCACTGTACGATGAACAAGGGAGATAATTCTACGGACATGTAACCTTTTACTTGCATTGCAACTTACCTCTCCGTAGATTTCCTTGATCATGCCACTGATGAGAGCCTTCATCTGAGATTCTCCCACATCTCGAGGTTGTCCATCTTCAAATTCTCTGAAAGTGCAAGATCAAAACCATCAAAGAAAATAATTATGAAAATAGTTTACATAACAGGAATCCAAGGTCTTTTCTTACAGTCTTCTTCTATGACATAAAAACACCAGGGATGAAATGTTAACACAAGAAATTATACATCCAATTTGCATAAATCTTGTGACATTAAATGAGACAATCAACCAAATCGTAAAGATTAATGTTTCATTTCAGATTGGTGGATTGCTGAGGTTTAACTTCCCATACTCATCCACTGACGTGCACCATAAATCAAGTTGTCACAGTTTTTAGTGTACACAGAGGCTCTTCATAGTGACATCTTAATTTCCACTAATGCCTTTCCACATGACAACCACTAACATGAATTGTTCTCATAAAGACATGGGGTGCTTAATGGCTGTATTTTCACAATGGCACCTTTATAATTCATACAGAACTATCACATTACAATTAGGTAATCTATTTTATCAGCTGACTGTGACATTGAGAATTCCATGTTGATTAATAACTACAACAGTTTCTGAAACATTCTGAAAGCAGTGAAACTGTATGTTGTTTTGATCTATCACGGTAAATTCAATAAATCAATTCCAAATCTTCCTGTGAAGGAGATGTCATCAAAACAATTTGCAACCTTTGGATTGTTAGCCATCTACACTGTGGTTAAATCCACACTGTCAAACAAAGTTCTCATGTTGAAAATGTTACAGAAAAGGACGAGGAAGCAATGAACAGTTACACAGGGCAGTCATGGAGTAGTTAAAATTACTGAAAACTCTCAACATCACTCTCAGGTTTTTCAATACCATTGTGTACAGATATTAGACAGCTGAGACAGCAGAGCATCTACACCGTGACCAAAGCAACCCTGTTTGGAGGTTGACATCAAAGAACATTGTTTTACCAGTGTATAGTTACAAAAAAATACTTTGCAGGGAATTGTGATGTGTTTCTAATGTTTGTGATGCTGGATGAAAAATTACTTACAGTTTGACTTTAATGTATTGGAAAGGCAGTGGTCCCTTGCTGACAACCCGCTGGTACTGAGTATCCTTCTCTCCTGTTGTCTCTGTCATGACAGCCTTTTCCTGCATGTGATATCAAGATTTTTCCTTTTATAATGCTAATGAATGTTATCAAAAAACTAATTTTATCAAAGAAACATAATTATGCTGAAGGGGTCGTTGTCGGCACGGGTACTTCAGATATGTACCCCAGGTTCGTTTCTGTATACAGATATATATATATGTACCCTGGCCATAATGAGAATACAGAAACGTACCCTAGGACGATTCTATTCCCATTGTGTCGTATTCTTGATCGGAACTGTCATGCTGTTATATTAGATGCATTTGATTGCGTTATGTAAGTAATGAGAATACACAGTAACGGATATTTCGCGATGCATATGAATACCACTCGCAATCAGTTGAACAGGAACAACTACATGCGGTTTCGGTTTTGGATTGCGGAATATGGACTCATCCGACTTTTGGGGTACCGGGTACGTTTCTGTATTTTGACTTTGTTTAGGGTACATATCTGTATACAAAAACATACCTGGGGTACTTATCTGTAGTACCTGTGCCGACAACGACCCCTTCAGCCATAATTATGGATTATTTGATTTTGGACAAAGGACATTAATTCAGGAAGGACAGGATAATTATGCACAGACGGAAACATTTCCTCCCGTAACCCCCGTATTGTTTTTAATCATTATATGCCTAAGAATATACGCTTAAGTTTTTGTCATAAACAGCCTATACCTAACCCTAAAATCTAACCCCAAACCCATAGGCGGATCCAGAGGGGGGGTGCAGAGGTGCGCGCGCGCACACACACACACACACACACACACACACACACACACACACACACACACACACACACACACACACACACACACACACACACACACACACACACACACACACACACACACACACACACACACACACACACACACACACACACACACACACACACACACACACACACACACACACACACACACACACACACCCTTGTGCTGAAAGTTTGTTAATTGACCATTGAAACTCGGGTGAAAATGAAGTGTGCATCCCTCTTTTTCTCAATAGTGTGCACCCGCCCCCTTCTCAAAAGCTGTATCCGCCCCTGAAAAACCTAACCCTAAACCCTCGAAATAAGCCTAACTAATAGAATACATTTCAAGCGGGGGTTACGTGCGGAACTCTTACCCATACACATTTGTACTCATAATCTCAACGTGACGTATTCTCGTTTTACTGGGCATGTTGAGTCTCTAAAATGCACGCGCAAGTAAGTGACTGTAATTTGTAAACAAGCGCCGAGCGGTACAGTCTGGCTTGTTAGATTCTGTAAAATTCATTTAAAAACTCTGTAACGTTCAAAACCTTGTCATCATACTTATTCACAAGTGGAAATCTTTCAGCAACAGACTCACACTAACTGTCAAACGGTACAAAAGCAGTTTGATTATTCGTTGTCACATATCAAGTATGGTGATGGAAGCTGACATTTTCCCTCTTTCTATGACGTAGTACACACCGCAGTAACTCGCGTGACTAATAAACGTACCGCTAAAAATAGCGTTCATTACAGCAAAGCTTCACGCCCTTTGTAAATACTTAACAACAATTAAAATCAAGAGAACTTATTTTGAACCTGAACCTCAATCCTAACACATTCAACAATGGAAACACTCATATTTTGTAGAGTATAAAATGAATATGATATCAAAGTGATAACTCTCTGCTTATCTGTGTTATGAACAGCGTCAGTATTTATTCCGGAATTCGATTATCATAATTAAAATTAGGGGTACTTAGACTCAAATACTCTGGAAAAATAATTTTTTAAGGGTCAAACATAAGATTATGCGTCCAGGTCCATACCCGATATTAGATTATTTTGGAAAGAGGAGTGTGCCGCTTCTGTAAGGAGATACTGTTTAAAACGATAAATAAAGTTGATGGAACCCCGGTAAATGACCGTTGTCGTAGTACTGACTGCTGTGCAACGCTGAAACACTAAGAAGTGGCGCGTCTGTTGGATCTAAAACTCAAAAAGACCAATTCATTATGATGAGAAGTGGCACATCTTAAGTTGAGCTGAAACATTGAAAAGAAATGGCGTGTGTCAGTTGCAACCATTATATTCAAAGACTGGTATGTCTTAATAAGAATTTCCGTGCCTCATCTGGATCGAAAATATTGAATGGCATATTGAGATAGGTAGTGACGCACATCAGCTGGAGCTAAACTTTTACAAGACGAAATCATTCTTTATATCAAGAGGCACGTCTAGACTGTATCTAAAACATAAGAAAACCAACGCATTTGTTAACAGAATGTGAACCATCTGAAAACAGATTCCTTATATATCTTTCTGACATAGTGCATCTTTTATTTCATAGCAGCAGCTTAGAGTTATTTGTTGTCAACCAATTATACGAACAAACGAGATCAGACTTCCAGACGACCTCAGCTGACACTACAACTGCCTTTCTACGGTAACTGGGGTATCATTGGGTGTGGACAACACCTGCAACTCATTCTTACACTTCACCATGAATGCGGAGAGTTATACTTTCCCCGCTACTCGGAACATTTGGACAAGCAAAATACACCCCCTATATCTACTGACCACATTCTTCACAGGGAAAGTCCAACATACATGGCTTTCTCGGAATGAGCCCTCGCGACCCTAACCCATGTCCAGGCACCTCGGTCGTCCAGGTATGAAAAGTGCGCGCCTCAAATGGAACTGAAATTTCAGCGACAACTCGTTATAATAAGAAGTGAAGCATTTGGAATAGAGACGAAATATGTGACACATCTCTTAGCATGTTTAGCTGAAACATAAGTGACAACTTGTAACAGTGACAACATATAATACTAGCAAGCATAATAAAGAACTCATGATACTTGCAAGTTAAGTATCTCACGTTTAGCTGAGACATAAGTGACAACTTATGATTGTCACAAATATTACACTAGCAAGCAAAGTATCTGAGGTGGAGCTGAAACATAAAGAGACTAGCAAGCTAGGTATCTCATGTGGAGCTGAAACATAAGTGACAAGACATAATACTATCAAGCTAAGTATCTCATGTGGAGCTGAAACATAAAGTGACAACGTATCATACCTTCAAGCTACGTATCTCAAGTGGAGCTGAAAGATCAGTGACAACATATTATAGTGACAACATACGATACTAGCAAGATAAGTATCTCATGTGGAACTGAAACATATGTGGCAACATATGATAGTGACAACATATAATATTAGCAAGCAAAGTATCTCATGTGGAGCTAGAACATAAAGTGACAACATATAATAGTGAGAACATATTATTCTAGCAAGCGAAGTATCTAAGGTGAAGCTGAAACATAAGTGATAACATATAATAGTGACAACATATAATACTAGCAAGCTGAGAATCTCATGTGGAGCTGAAACATAAGTGACAACATATAATAGTGACAACATATAGTATTAGCAAGCTAAGTATCTCTAGTGCAGCTGAACCATAAAGTGACAACATATAATAGTGACAACATATAATACTAGCAAGCTGAGTATCTGAGGTGGAGCTGAAACATAAGTGACAACATACAAAAGTGACAACATGTAATAATATAACAAGCTAAGTGTCAGAGGTGGAGGTGAGACATAAGTGACAACATATAATAGTGACAACATATAGTATTAGCAAGCTAAGTATCTCTAGTGCAGCTGAACCATAAAGTCACAACATATAATAGTGACAACATATAATACTAGCAAGCTGAGTATCTGAGGTGGAGCTGAAACATAAGTGACAACATACAATAGTGACAACATATAATACTTGCAAGCAAAGTGTCTGAGGTGGAGCTGAAACAAAAGTGACCTCTGTTAATACTAGCAAGCTCAGTGTCCTAAGTGAAGCTCAAACATAAAGTGACAACATATAATACTAGCAAACTAAGTATCTCACGTTCAGCTGAAACATAAGTGACAACATAAGATAGTGACAACATATAATACTAGCAAGCTGAGTATCTGAGGTGGAGCTGAAACATGAGTAACGACTTCTAATACTAGCAACCTTAGTATCTCAGTGGAGGTGAAACATAAGTCACAACATATAATAGTGACAACATATAATACTACCAAGCTAAGTGTCTCCGGAGGAGCTGAAACATAAGTGACAACATACAATAGTGACAACATGTAATAATATAACAAGCTAAGCGTCAGAGGTGGAGGTGAAACATAAGTGACAACATATAATAGTGACAACATATAATACTAGAAAGCAAAGTATCTGAGGTGGATCTTCAAACAAAAGTGACAACATATAATAGTGACAACATATATATTATAATACTAGCAAGCTGCGTGTCTCCGGAGGAGCTGAAACATAAGTGACAACGTACAATAGTGACATCATAAAATACTAGCAAGCTAAGTATTTCAAGTGGAGCTGAAACAAAAAGTGACAACATATAATAGTGACAACATATAATACTAGCAAGCTAAGTATTTCAAGTGGAGCTGAAACATAAAGTGACAACATACATTAGTGACAACATATAATGCTAGCAAGCTAAGTATCTCATGTGGAGCTGAAACATAAAGTGACAACATATAATAGTGACAACATATAATACTAGCAAGCTAAGTATCTCATGAGGAGCTGAAACATAAGTGACAACATATAATAGTGACAACATATAATACTAGCAAGCTCAGTGTCTGAGTTGGAGCTGAAATATAAGTGACAACATACTATAGTGACAACATATAATACTAGCAAGCTAAGTATCTCAAGTGGAGCTGAAACATAAGTGACAACATACAATAGTGACAACATATAATACTAGCAAGCTAAGTATCTCAAGTGGAGCTGAAACATAAGTGACAACATATAATAGTGACAACATATAATACTAGCAAGCTAAGTATCTCATGTGGAGCTGAAACATAAGTGATAATATATAATATTAGCAAGCTAAGTATTTCAAGTGGAGCTGAAACATAAGTGATAACATATAATAGTGACAACATATAATACTAGCAAGCTAAGTATCTCATGTGGAGCTGAAACATAAGTGATAACATGTAATAGTGACGACATATAATACTAGCAAGCTAAGTATCTCTTGTGGAGCTGAAACATAAGTGACAACATATAATAGTGACAACATATAATACTAGCAAGCTAAGTATCTGAGGTGGAGCTGAAACATAAGTGATAACATACAATAGTGACAACATATAATACTAGCAAGCTAAGTATCTGAGGTGGAGCTGAAACATAAGTGATAACATGTAATAGTGACGACATATAATACTAGCAAGCTAAGTATCTCATGTGGAGCTGAAACATAAGTGACAACATATAATAGTGACAACATATAATACTAGCAAGCTAAGTGTCTGAGGTGGAGCTGAAACATAAGTGATAACATACAATAGTGACAACATATAATACTAGCAAGCTAAGTATCTGAGGTGGAGCTGAAACATAAGTGACAACATACAATAGTGACAACATGTAATAATATAACAAGCTAAGCGTCAGAGGTTGACGTGAAACATAAGTGACAACATATGATAGTGACAGCGTATAATACTAGAAAGCAAAGTATCTGAAGTGGAGCTGAAACAAAAGTGACCCCTGATAATACTAGCAAGCTAAGTGTCCTATGTGAAGCTCAAAGATAAAGTGACAACATATAATAGTGACAACATATAATACTAGCAAGCTGCATGTCTCCGGAGGAGCTGAAGCATAAGTGACAACGTACAATAGTGACATCATAAAATACTAGCAAGCTAAGTATTTCAAGTGGAGCTGAAACATAAGTGACAACGTACAATAGTGACATCATAAAATACTAGCAAGCTAAGTATTTCAAGTGGAGCTGAAACATAAAGTGACAACATACAATAGTGACAACATAAAATACTAGCAAGCTAAGTATCTCATGAGGAGCTGAAACATAAGTGACAACATATAATAGTGACAACATATAATACTAGCAAGCTAAGTATCTCATGAGGAGCTGAAACATAAGTGACAACATACAATAGTGACAACATATAATACTAGCAAGCTAAGTATCTTAGGTGGAGCTGAAATATAAGTGACAACATGCAATAGTGACAACATATAATACTAGCAAGCTAAGTATCTCAAGTGGATCTGAAACATAAGTGATAACATGTAATAGTGACGACATATAATACTAGCAAGCTAAGTATCTCATGTGGAGCTGAAACATAAGTGACAACATACAATACTAGCAAGCTAAGTGTCTGAGGTGGAGGTGAACAAAAGTGATAACATATAATAGTGACAACATATAATACTAGCAAACTAAGTATCTGAGGTGGAGGTGATACATAAGTGACAACATATAATAGTGACGACTTATGATACTTTCAAGCTAAGTATCTGAGGTGGAGCTGAAACATAAAGTGACAACATATAATACTAGTAAGCTAAGTACCTCAAAAGGAGCTGAAACATGAGCAGCAACAT